TTATATATATATATATATGTTTCACAGTTGGAACTTTGCCTTCATTTTTCCTTAAATTACTCAATTTGTTTGAATAATATAGAGAGTTCATTTAATCTGTATATATCAGCCAAAATACCACTTTTTCCACATGTTTTAGGAGAATCTGGTGTAGATATCAGGGGAGATTCAGCTTCTTCTTAACAGATCCTACATTAATTATTAGTTTTTAATTATATTCTTAAGAGTATCTAAAGGAAAGGTTCAGAACTCTGAGTTACAGATATCAACCTGAGGGAGTTTTCAATAGAGTCCATGTTTTTCTACCCTTGGTGACATAAGGAACAATCAGATAATACTCAGCACAGAAATAAAGAATCAAGTAGAGATGGTCCTCCTCCACTGAGGAGACATCTCTCTCAGAACTCCTGAAGAACAGGAGCCCCTCCTCCCCCCTCAACCGCATCTCTCCTGCCTGCTGAGACGTAGACGAAGACGATTTGCCAATTATCCAGCCTGCAGAGCCAAGCCGAGCCACTGCTGTTCCTCCCTCCGTTGACCTGCCTCTCTCTTCTATGTCTAAGAAGATTGATATTTTACAACCTTTTCTTTCTTATCTGGGGCACTGAGAGGATGGCTACATTGTTTTCTCAGTTTTGTGTAACAAGACAGTACGCACCCAAAAATTCTCATGATAGAACATGGCGGGTTTTCCTGTCCTCCCCGTATGAAAACAGAAAATTTCTCAAGAATTCAGGGTATCATTGGTCTTGATGCACCATGTTTTCCTCGTGACAATGTACCAACTCCACGTGTTCACAGACGATGGACTTCTTGACATGTGGAAACGGCCGAGGGTAAACAGGACGTTTAATATAGTTTTCTCTCTTGCTATTCTTACTGTTTACAGACACAGACGCCCTGCTCTGATTATAATATCAACTTCACTTTGCCTTGGTCTTCCCAATCGTTGTGGTACTTCATTGATGTTTTTGAAGAATCAGTAATAAAAAGTGAATCGAGGCTTCTGTATTCAGGTTAAAAATGACAGTGATCTCAAATTTGTAGCCCATATATGTGAACAAAAAGATACAAAATATAATAATTATTTAAAAGGTTGGCGACATTTTTACTAGGCAGCTCGCATACTGTCTTTTTTTTTCTTCCCTACCAGATGGGACTACATTTATATGCAGAAGAAAAGTTTTATTGTAAAGCAAAATATTTTTACTGGAAGTAAGTCCATTCCATAATTAAACTTAACAGAGAGGAACAGTATTAAATAGTACAGTATAGTATCATAGAGTGTAAGTAGATACCCAGAAATTTAGAACAAACAATATGTGCCAATCCTGTTAAAACAACAGAGGGAAATTCATCGAGGCGAATTGCTGGCTAAACGTCTCTTTGATACGTACACTGTCTTTACACCAGAGTGAGAAAGACCTGAGACGCTGGGCACCGTGAGCTGTGAACAGCCCTCAAAGAAGTCAAGACTTGGAAGAAAAGAAGGCTGTTGGAGAAGGTGCAAGAAGAGAGATCAGCCTGACAGTTAAGAAAGTGGCTCGGAGACTGAGATCGTCTTTGCCAGCGTTTCACTGAACACAGGTTCACTGCGGGAATGACAATAATTTCACAAGCCAAGAGTACCCAGGCTAATGCCTCTTCGTAAGCAATACAGACATGGCAGACGTCAAACCGACAATAGATTCATTACACTATGGTTCCAGGCCAGGGAGGATGAAAGGAATAAAGTTCAGGTTTTTTTCGAGGTGAATCTTTCCTGGAGCTGGTTCTCCAGAGAGATGGCTCAGCCAACCCAGAGCTGCCAGAGCGAGAGTGAGGGCCCCTCAATGCTGGAGCAGGTTGCTAGGGCAGGAAGGCACTGGCTTGATGAGCAAGAAGAACTCCTTCACGGGGGGCCACTGGATGGTCTTCACCACCACCCGGTACAAAGTCGCCTCGCCTGGGCAGGAGCTAATGCCCCAAGGCCTTCCAACAGCTACTTAGTGCTGCAGAGAGTCGCCTTGCCCA